GTTGAGGCCATTTTTGCTTAGTTAAAATCCTTAAAACCTTAGGTTAATAATGATAATGTCCGAGTCAATAAAACAGATATTCTGCGAAGGTTATAATTACTATTTTCATTAAAATAATGATTTAGACTTCCAACATTTGAGTGAGAAGAAAAAAGATTAAATATAGGATAAGATATATGTCTAATCCTTAAAAGATTTTTGCCCATTTAAAATTTTATCCAACTCTAAACGCAAAAGTTTGGAAAAGACTGATCTTTGCCTTTAATTTATATGCACTTCGAGTCAAGAAATGAAGCAGCTGGCAATGAATTTGTTTAATTTGAGGCGTTGGATTGAAGTTTAATTTGATGCATATGGATGTGTTGTCATGTCATATTTAAGTTTTAAGTGGTTGGAAAAAATGAATTTTTGAGAAGACATATGGATTTAAATGTGATATACATTGGCTTGAAAGTCATACAGGCTCATCGGGTCGACCTGAGAGCCAGTCGACTCGGGACCAGAATAGTTTCGGGTGGGTTGTTCGACCAGTTGAATATAAGAATTATTGGTTTTGTTAGGATTTTTTGTTTGGTTTAGTTTTTTTTTAAAAAAAAATAGTATGATTAGTTATTAGTGGGTATGTATATTAAAATAATATTTAAAATAAAATAATTTAAATTAATTTGATGTAAAAGTATGAGACATGTGTTATGAAGTGATAATTAGTTAAAATTATATGAGTTGATAAATATGGAAATAAAATTAATGTGGTGTGTAAAAAATCACAGTTTGTGAAAGCAAACTTATACATAACAACATAAATTGCTTGTTTAGAAGGAATTTGAGTATATTCAAAGATTTAAAATGAAAAGACCAACATCATAATGGTGAACTTTTTTGAGATATGAAGACATATATATTTATGGCACATACTCTGTGGGTCCTAATAAAATTAAATAGTAATAACTACATAATAATTTCCTTTGGCAAATTAACAAATTTTCATATTATATAAAAAAGAAAAATAAACACAATGATAAAGTGTCAGTGATGCTATCTCCCCCACCTCAACACTGTGCTGGGTTGGTGACTCTCATTAATATGTTATGTTTGCCTTTGTATTTTATTAAAAGGTGATAAGTTTTATAAATAGCTCTAGATAAGCACTTTTTTTTTTTTTATTTCATTATTATTTGCTTTTCTCAAATAAATGAAACTTTCAAAGGGATCTTGACTCTTGATGACTAATATTGCTGAAAAGCTTACTCGGTGGTCTCGTGGCGGTTTCCGGTGACTGAGATGGTGGGCGTTAGACCGGTGGTCTTGCATTTGTCCTGACTCGATTGGGATTTAGGTTTTTTTTTATTTTTTTATATTTTTTCGAACTTTTTGTGTGATTCTAATATTTATTTCTCTTATTTCTAAACCGAATGTCCCATTGCTTGCTAATGCCGATAAATCAATAATGTCACAAATTCAGTCGTCAGTGTCTAATAGTTAGACAATTATATATTTTTTAATAAAAATGTGTATTATATTATAAAAAAAGTCGCATATTATTTGTGTTATCTTCTAACATAAGATATTTAAATATTAAAGTATCTATCTAATCTAATCTAAATATGTTAAAAGGGTATCACATGGATTGCTCATCTCTGATTTATCTACAGTGAACACAATATTAAGGCCCATGGCCTACTTGTGAAGCCCGCAGCAAGTGTATAGACTAACTCGTTCTTTCAGTGGGCTTTTGAAATTATAGCTCGTCCCATCTTTTATTTAAGGTTAACCGGTCGGCCCACAAGTCCAAGTCCAAATTAAAATTAAAATGCCTGCCTCGGAGGAAGTCAAGACCAAAATGGCTTAAATAATACTTTTTGTGAACCTGAGATTTTCTGGGCATGACATGGGTTCAACAATAAGTTTGTGTTCAAGAACCCAACAAATTTATATAATTATATGTAATCAGCTCGCCTTTACTTGTTTATATCTAACAGGCACTCTATGTTTCGAGGTAAAAAGTCATCCTTAATGGGCACGATCGATCTGGATCGCGAACTGGGCCTGGCCCACGACCATTTTAAAACATTTTACACTAACACAAAATTATGTTCAAATTTCCCACAAGTTCAATGTGAGTGAGCTAACTTTAACAATTTATTGTGGGTTCGTGTTATTACAAACGAGCTGCAAAACGAGAAGCCTCTTCAAACCACAATGCTTTCGTCCAAATCGAAAGTAAACCAAATCTCGTTGACTCTGTTTTTGAACTCGAACGGGGAATTATACTGAGCGACAATGTACTCCGAGGTG